TCTTCCCTGATGAAAAGTGAAAAGGAAATTAATAAAGTTAGCAAGCTTTTGAATAAGGAAGACTTACTTTTCATCTTTATGGATAACTGCTTTGGATTATTCAGTATGATTTGTTAGGCATAACGAAGATTATAATTGTTATTATTTTTACCAAATCTACCAGCGATCCTAAATGTGCATATGAAAACTGAGTAAACAGTGATAAGGCGTAGTTTATATCTTCAACCATTTACAATAGATGACGTTATTATTCAAGTGAAACGAATATTTTCTAAAGGAAAATACTCAGTATAAGACAAGACTTATATTGCTCGTATCTATACAAAACACACAGAACATCCATAAAGATGATGGAAAGTTTATAAAAACCTCACCAATTTAAACTGCACACGCAGTTCATCAACATCCAACACAACCACACCATCTCATTCAACAAGATACATTCTCCAATAGTTTGTTAAAATCTTTTTCCCTAAACAGCTTCACGTGAATGCTGCATCACCTGATAACTATCTTTGGTAATCAGTAGACACCAAATAAAACCTTCATCGATAATTGCAAGATCACTTCCACTTCTAGTCACGTTAGACTGTATAGGAAGAATAGACACTATGTATGTTTTCGAAAGTATAACATCTGGAATCTAGTTTTCAACTCAAATTAGGTTTCAATGATACCAAGGGAAAATGATACAGTGACCTTGTACCATTTTGCCTTGTAATGTATCTGGTTTCTGCATAGTTTAAGTAAATTTCAATAATTACTGTTGCTTTAATATTTTCACCTTTAGCTTAAATTATGGTGTTTCATTTAACTGTCATTTTTTAGAGTAGTATCTCATATAATTAAAATAATGGAACGAAACGCATATTTCTGGATAAACATATAAACATAGGTCAATTATTCAGTGACATGTTGATCATATGTTGTTTAATTAAATTATCTGATCTATTAAGCGACAAACTGAAAGTTCAATTTTAATAACGTTTAGTTTGGTTTTTAAACAACTGAAGTAACTTTAAAGATTATGCACACACACATTAACATTTGTTTCTAATTGGTCCTATTTTGACGCTCACTATTTACATTCCTAGATGTTCTATCTTTGAAAACGTTGGCTGAAAGTTTTATCAAAGAAAGACTATTGGTATTACATAGGTTATTTTTCAAAATGGGTAGATTTCTCTTATAGCTGCCGTGTTAATTTTAGTGCTCTCCAAGTTTGAGATTTTATGGGCTTCACTATTTTTGAAGATGTGTATTCAAACTAATAACTGTGAATTAGTTTCTTTGTTCCCTTTTGGTGTTGAAAAGTGATTGTTTTACAATTGAAGTATCATTGAGTATTTATTAGTAAATGTTGTTAGTTTTGGTAACGACTATATTTTTCGATTAGCAGATATTCTCATTCTGACTATCTGAGATAGTCGTGGTTTGGCAGACTTGTGCTGTACTGGGCGATGACTGAAGGTGAGATAAAAATTTGGACAGCTATGGGACTCGAACCAGCAACCACCGGGTTCCTGGCTCGGTGCTTCACCGACTGACCTACGAGGCCTGGGCCAAAAACCCGGTGGTCGCTGGTTCGAATCCCATAGCTGTCCAAATTTTTATCTCACCTTCAGTCATCGCCCAGTACAGCACAAGTCTGCCAAACCACGACTATCTCAGATAGTCAGAATGAGAATATCTGCTAATCGAAAAATATAGTCGTTACCAAAATTAACAACATTTACTAATAAATACTCAGTGATAACGTGTTCGGGCTTAAACGAAAAAATGAAGATCCTGAGTTCAGTCCCTAATGGGGTTCTGGGTGCGTACTACTGAGGGGCCCCATGTTATAGTGAAACAACTGTCTAGTGCTCTCTACTTTTCAGTGGTTCTCCAGTTGGTGTCAACTCATGATTTCCACCTCGAAATATTTAAGTCTACTATCTGAGGGATAAGTGAAGGGGCTAAATGAGTAGGTTAATCAATATATGCTCTGTTTTTACCACACATTTAGGCCTACAAATAACTGCTAATCCAACTTCATCTCTGCAATTTATTTTCAACTCAGCGGGAGCTCCAATTCAACAATGGGGGTTTTACTTCTTGTACTACTGAAATGCCCCTGTTTCGATTAAGCTCAGCTCACTTACTCGACCTTCTATTTAACTTGGTTAATTTTGATAGTAGCCTGTTACCAGAGACTAACTGTGAGGTAACAACGGGTGAACTAGTTCACGATGTTGAAAAACTTGGTTTTCTCGGTTGATCCTACAGAAAACCTCGACGCTTTTGTATTTTCTTGTCAAATATGTTAGGGACCAAAGACATCCTACAAGTCTAGGCATCCTCTGAATCTGCTGGAAATCATGCAATCACATCTTTTGATAACGCAAAAATCTTTTCATTCCATTAACCTACTAGTGAGTAATCACGTGACCAGACTGTTCGAAGTGCATTACTCTCAATTATCACTTATTTCAAATAAACTGCTTCCTCGTGTTTTTTTCGCAAAAATTATAACTACAACCAACTGTTTCAAGGAGGCAGTCGGCAGGAAGCCATGACTGACCCAGGTTTTGTTCTCTTTGGCACTTGTCAGTAAGGCATTACTGCAGCATCGAAGAAACTGATGCCCCCTTTGAACTTCGAACCGGCACCATCCAGTGTTGCAGTCAGCTACTTTAACAATGAGCCATCATTGCCGCGACTGACCTCCTATGTGGCTGTATTACATACATTGACTGCCCACTGGAGAGCACCTAATTGCAAACTGCCTAGTCCTGAGTGCTGACTGAGTTCTACCGAGCACTTTTGCAGCGCGGCCACCAAGATAGGGGGGTCAACATCGCGGCACATATTGATAGATGTTAATTTGTAGGAGGTTGTTGGCAAGAAACCTTACACCTAGCTTGGTGGTCACTTTACATAGTGATTAGCAGAATCCGTTCAGCACTCAAGACTAGACTAGATTCACTACTCTCCGGTGGTTAGTCATTGTACATTTCAAGGATCTACTCATAAGTTTAAGCCCACTATGGTTCTGGATATAACTTGTATTACTTCTATCTAAGGGAATTTGCCGATGCCCAGGAGTGTAACAAGCTTGATTTGAGAAAATGAAAGCTTATTCACCTGTGTTAAAGTGCAAATAATATCAGTACCATAGTATTCTGATTTACTTGTCATGCTTTTTCTGTTCAAGTTCATAAAAGGGAGTTAGGTGTGTAGAACTATGAGTTTCAGTTCGTTAACTCCAAACGATTCTTTCACAAACACCATACTGAATTACCATACTAAGAACCAGTCTATCTGTAAGGCGAAAATGTATGTGCGGACATTTAGACGACCATTCCCAAAATGTAAAAAGTTTACCTTAAAGAAGATGGTCAGGATTTGTTTTTGATTGAATGCACACCAGTGAACTATTCACTTGAATCAATATTTCAGCGTCCCAAGACTACCATAGTTTGTTTAAAACTTCTTGACACTGATTTTGTAATTTTCTATGTTCACTAGAAGAGCGTATCTACATGTTCATAGTCTCATGTCAACTACGTTCCAATACTTAAAAATGAACAAAATGTTTACTAAAATCGTATGAACTCATCCTAAATGTCACATAACATCCCTTAGGTAGTGGATTCATTTGTTCCTTTATTGACATAGGTATAACCTAACAGTGGATGCTGGAAACCTAGAAAGACATATCTAGAATTTCTTCCATTTTATCTTATCTAAATTATGATTTTGTTACTCATTCCAATATGTAACACAGGATGAATCAAATATGACTTGTTCCACTCATTGGTTTAGTAATTAAACCTTCAACATCATATTTATGTGTTTGAACAGTGCAACAAGTGCAAGTGTGAAATAATCAGTTGACCATATTTCATCGCGTTTTCATAAACTTAATGGTTATAAATGAGTAGAAGTGAACCCATATATAGCTAGTCACATTGTCGAAGGTATAACTTTGATAGATTTCCATATAAATTTTACTTTGATTAAAATAAAAACAAGCTCTTGAACTCACTAATAAATGATTTTGAAAACATTGACAAAGATACAATTCAGTTAATATAAGTTAGCTCATCAAAACAACAAATCACATAGATTCCGATAAATATTAATATGTTTCTCATCATGAGCATATATAAGTGTTTACTGGAATTCAGTTTTTAGACGAACATTAAGTCAGTAGGTTACTGTTATGTCCGCTATAACGACAACATTTATTCATTGGTACAAATAACTGTGATGATGGCAGTAATAAGGAAGAAGAAGATAGAAGTTAGAGTGAAAACCATATACCGACTCTGAAATCCTCTTCTTCTACTATCCTCTGTTATGGCCGGAATATGACCATGTTCTCCATGCAGAATTTATGATATTCACAAACATTTCGAATACATAATAAGGTAGTGAATAGAAAGATTGTAAATTAAATGAATGACTAAATAGACAAGTATTTTTTTGTTATTCAAGCTAGATTTATTCAGAAATAACATAAGCTGTCATTCAAAGAAGAAGAATAAAGAGAAAATCACTGTCCAAATATTGAAAATTGAATATGAAGAAGACAACACGAACTGAATAAGAACTAGTGAGTTAAAATCACTTTTATACTTGTAGACTGTATTTACTAACAATAAATAATCATTATGCTTATTTTTCACTAGAAATTAAATAACATCTTGTTTTTTAAGATGGCTCTGTTCCTGACTACACTTAACTAAACTTTTCACACCGACTCCAATCTTACTCATATTACATTTTTATTCATTCCTATTCATTATTGCAAATAGAACGTCAAACTCTAGATATTTGAGCTGCTTGATTCTGTATATGTATAAAGCCATAGGATATCAGATACTAATATATACGATCTAATTGTTTATCAAGCCAATATAAGGATGTCCCTACATTAGACGGGATCTACCATACTAATTAACGAACATATATAAGTAAACTCCTGTCAGTACAAACATACCATTTCTTCGATCTCAACTGAATATTTGATTCGTTTGCAGGATAGACTGAATTAGATTAGAGAAAATCTGAACATGTTCTTTCGATTGAAGCCAGGGAGTTGATTCTGATGTATCCTCATTGGCCACATTTTCTAGCATGTTTAATTTTCGACCTGATAAAAACTGCATAAAATATACATTATACAGTAATTTTTCATGGTTCGACAGATTACTACGTTCATCAGTAGTATTACTACAAAGTGGTGAGTTGAACACAGTTGTGTAACTAGGAAGGTTTTGTAAAATGGTCGAATTGCACAAGTGCGATGCTGAAGGCGAGCAATACTGTGAATCAAATATTTCGGAATTTCTCTTTCCAGACAGTGCGGGCAAGGAAGCCGATAATGTAGGAAAGCATGAAGGCAGTGAAGAAGATATTGTTGATGGTGAGATTGTTGAATAAGTGCTTGACTTAGAGTCGGAAACGCTGGAATGATCATTTTCCCCATAAGGTGGCAAGATTCGACCTTCCTTTTCATTATTTGCTTCATTATATCGTAAATATGTATTCTTTACTTCTGTGCTTTCTTGAGACGAATTTAAAATGTGATCAATGTTGAATGATATTGGTTTCTTAAAATGTTTTTGGTTGCTTGTACTCAATTGGTGATTTCGAAATAATGAATGAAATAGAAAAGAAAAATTAGGATCATCTGTACAAGGTGGTAATGATATACCTGACGATGATGAGATTAAGCATGATGAAGACGGTAAAGATGTACAGGAGCTGTAGAGTGAAGAATATGGTGAGAATAAAGACGTTGTCGGCTCTAGTAAATTGCTATTAACATGTTTTGCGAAATATTTTTTCTCTTGAATGTGGTTCAGTGGAAGATAATTCCCATTAAAATCATTCTTAACGGAGTAAATATTTGATTTAATCTCATTACATAGTGAAATATTGTCATGGTTATCATCAACACTAATGTTGCTGTTTGCGTCTGTTGAATCAGGCGAGTGTATGAACTCGTGAGAAGAATGTGCAGTGGTGTAGACATTATCACTGTTTTCGTCAACATTAGTTTGAGGAAAAAACGTCTTAGTATTACTGGTAGTAGGGGTAGTAACAGTAGTATTAAGGGAATTAGTTGTAGAATGTTTTATTGAACGATTACGACCACTATTTGATCTGCTATTATTATAAGTACCAATTTGTTCAGAATAATTGTAGAAGAATGTTTTAACATTACCCTCTAGACCTATTCGTTTATAACGTTTCCGTCGCCGAAGAAAACTTCCGTTATCAAACATATCCATTGAGTTCGGATCCAATGTCCAATAATTACCTTTCCCTGGATTACCAGGTTCTCGAGGTATCTTCATAAAACAATCATTCAATGATAGATTATGCCGTATAGAATTTTGCCATGCTGGGAAACGTTCACGATAATAGGGAAAATTTGACATGATAAAATCACATATTCCACCTAATGTTAAATGTTTCTGTGGTGAGTGTAATATGGCCATTGTGATTAAAGCTATGTATGAATAGGGCGGTTTCACTGAATGCAGTCGTGTTCCACGGTTGTGAATTTTACCACAGTTTGTTGGTGATGATGTTACTGGCGAATTCGTTGACAGCAGAGCTCTGTTCATACGTGAATGTTTCAGCTTTCTAATCCTATCGATATTCTCTTTACGTAAATGATTACGACTATGATAATAATGGAAACTGTTATTGTTATTAATCAGAGTTGTTGTCGTTGTCGTGCAAGTACTAACACTTGTAGAATATTCTGGTATAACCACTGAGTCTCCTTCAAATAAATCATGATTCTTTATTACTGACTGAATAGAGACATTTGTTGGGTTTTCGTATGAGTGATTATTTTCAACGGTGATAGTTGTTCGAATATCGGGATTAAGAGAATAAATGGAGTTTAAATATGCTGTAGGTGTTTTGTGGATAAAATCATCAAATTGCATGGTCACATCATTACTATTATTATTGTTATTATTATCAGTAGTAATCTCTTTTAGGAAAGGAAAATATCTTATTCCAATTCCATCTAGATTTGAATAATCTTTATCCATTCAGATTCAATTATGTATGTGAAAAGTTAGTTTCGCTTTTTTTGGTTTATGTTAAAGTCTTATTCGGCCTCTACCCTTTTAAACAAATTTACGCATTATGCATTTGTGAACATACACTGAAAGCACTAACACATGGAGAGGAGTTACAAAAGTTGTTGGGGAAAAAAATATCGGCATAAATATGTATATAATATATAATATATCCCACCAGCGAGAAATTCCTATTTACCTGTGAGACTATTTCTTCCCTATAAAATAATAAGCGAATTTATCCAGCTGATAGTTTTCATAAGCAATGAAATGAAGCATTGTTTATCTATATACGTCTTTATACAAGTAGGTATGGATAGACTACCTCACAAATGAAAGTATGTTGGTATGTATGCATACACCGTGTACCATAGTGAAACACACACATACATACATGTGTTGTTCATTAACACATCTATTTTCTAGTGAAATATTATGCCATTATTATTTACTTTCCTTTTGTTTTGTCAGTTTTGTTTATATAAACTAAAAATAATACGGAAAATAGTCTGAAGTACAAGTAATGATTGGCTGATTAAAAATAGCCAATAAATGTTGTGTGCGTAATTTAATGGTGAGGATAGTGATTGGTGTTGTGATTACGATTACTATTATCATTATTACTACTATCACTATTACCACTACTATTACAATCTTTATTATCATCCCAATGATGACGACACAACTTTAGATATAGGAATAAGGACTCATGATTGATAAGTAAGCAAGTGCAACTTGATATTTAAATGTTAGTAGTAGAATTAGTGGCATTTACGACAATTTAATGACAGAACGTTCATTTCTATTGCTCTTTCGGTTTTGCCTTTGGCATATGACCAGTTATAAGGTATATCCAACGCTGTCACTCGTAATTTCCAATAATCTGATTCGTAACGGGTACACGCTGAATTTCGTAGATAAGACCACCTGCCAACAGAGGTTGAGTAATTCAGTCTAGTATAACAACGACAGATTACAAGTATCAATGAACAGCAGATACCCGTCGCACAAGAGTTGATCATCTTGCCTCAGTGGTTTATTAGATAACGCTCTGGTGTTTGGAGCGATGGGTGCCGGGTTCATGTCTCAGTGGGAACATCACTCAGTGGTATGCAGGTAAATACAGCTGATGAGCCCCAAACAGAAGGAAACGGGGCTTCTGGACTCCACTGCTAGACGCTAAGCAGACTATTTGATCAATTAATCTTTCCAATTTTCCAATGATAAGTTTAAAGCTTAAATTACTACACAAAAAGTGCTTTACTTCCTGAGTTTCGACTTTATACGAGACAGTTATGAAAGGAAATATTTCACAACTGACACTTGGTTTCCAGAAAACCCTTTAAATGACTTATATGCAGAAACACGGATATATTTGGATCTTAAATGCCTTTGATGCGTATCAAATCACTGACAACTTGACACTATATGACATTTGTTAGTCAAACCCTAAAAGCACTCCCAGATAATGACAGATCCTTGAGCAGAATCATTAGGTCTCTAATGTGCATCACATGACGGTGATAATGTGTTGGTTGAAATAAATGACTATGTTTGGTGTTTCGAAAAGTGTAACATATGTCTGTACATTGCACATAACTGTCAGCGATATTTGCACAAACTTTTAGAAATAATAAGGAAAATATTACAGTGTTGTATTCGTCTTGGTGGCTAGCAGCGGAATCTAAGACGCGAGTTTTGTCCTACTCGGGGCTTATCAGATGGATGTACTCCTACACTAGTGAGTTATGTTATTCTACTGAGGATCGAACCTCGTACATATCTCTTCAAACGCCAAAGCGTTATCTGGTAGGCTAATGAGGCACAATTTCGACAATTTGTCTGAAAAACAAGCTGAACATTAAACCATTATTTGGCATGCACAGAAAAGTCCTTAGAGTTCACATTTGGCGTTCATTCATGATGCTATTTTAATAGAATGAGTAAATTTTCATGGGACTTTGAGAAGAACAAAATCTTTCTACTGAATTAATACAACTACTTTGGCTAAAAGTTTCTTGTAAACATATGAGGTCTTAAATAAGTAAAGTATGATAAAAGTAAAAGACGTTCTTTTTTGTTTTCATACAATGAAACGTTTCCTAATTGCATGAATCTTGCTCCTTATGGAAGATGATTTACATGATCAAAACTATGACACTCACCTTCGTTCTCCGAATCCTCAGAAATGGTATATTCTATTTCCGAAGATATGATGAGTACATTTCATGCCTTCATACTTGTCCATCCTTAAGGTGGATCATTTCCGTACATCTATCAAAGAAAGCGAATTTTGTACACAAGAATGATTTATTCACAAGGCGTAGTCCATGTGATACGATTGTGGAGTTACACTAACTAAAATACCCATGATGCATACTCACTAGTTATCCATGTCAACATTCGACACTGTTTAACCGATATGGTGGTTATGCTGAAAAGAAGATACCAGATTAACGATATGAATTATGCGGAATTATAAATATTTAAGGGAATGAAATTTAGAATTAGAATAAAAATTCATATCGGTAGCAGGCAGAAAAGTTTGAATGAAGAAAGTTTCGTATGTTTCGTCCCCCTGCACTCTTTTAAAATACAGTTATTCAAACTGTACCACCAATGCTAAAGAGTTGACTTTATTGAGTCTAGTCCATAAGTTGTTAATTAAAAACATTCCATTTTCATTTATAGCTCAGTCTTATGATACCTTCAAAAGCGAGCTCTCCGATTATCTACCAGTTTCTGCGTGAAGCCTGATGTCTTTAACTAGTCAAACAAAAGCAGTTAGAATAAAGTACGGCATACTTTTTACTAGTCACCAGTACCCATTTGAACCTCAGGATTATAAACCTTGATATTTCACTTGCAAGTAAAACAAACTTTTAGTGTTCTATAAGGAATGGAAAATTTAGCTCTTCTACCTTTCATTTTCAAATTAAGCTTAGTTCCATGTTTTTTAGTTAACGAACAGTATGTTGCCAACTGATTTACGGTAAGTACAACTTACATTCCCTATTCACTCTTATTTTAAGAAAAAAAACATTCAGAGTATTTTGCAAAATTATACTGAATTATGTGGCAGAAGAATAAAAGGAAACAAGAATCAAATTCCTCAGAATGATGAGACAACAAACTATCGACAGCTACCTAGCCGAAACTAGACAACAGACAGGAACTCTGACATCTATAATCATTATTATGACTATTCTCATCAATAAAAAGACAGGAAATCGTACACTATAATAGACCGTGAAGTGAACTAAAATACAATCAGTAAAGCAACTGGTTCATTGAAATAAATGAATAAGAAGTTTGAGTTTTGTGGGGATTTTATTTTTCAAGGTAGCATTTACGGACAGACATCAGTTGGAAAGTCACTGAAAATCTGGGAGCACTGGAAAGCTATCTCGTAGCGGTATGTGACTGCTCAGCAGTACCACTCAATATCCCACTAGGGATCGAACTCAGAGCCTTCACGTTTTGAGATGAGCATGTTACCACTGAGTTAATGGGTTGCAGTCCAACGGTCCACATTTTTGGACTTCTGTCAATTAATAACAGTCCATGAAGAATACTACCTAAAAATAAATAAGAGATTAGAAGCATTAGTGAAATTTGGTTGACATACTAATTTAGGTCGACATTAGTAGTAATGATCATTTATGACTAAGTATTAAACTGCGACCAAAGTTTTAATTGGCAACTTGTAGTGATACTTCCATGATCAGGCCAACTTTCTATTCTTATTTACTGGATGAACTACGTTTTGAATAACTAAGAAACAGAATATGCAAGTGTACCCACTGTACTAACTGCTGAATTTCAACGTATATAGTGAGTACCCTTATAGCAGCAGTAAATAATGGAAAGCATGATTGTTATAATGTCATATTCCAGTGTAAGAAGAAAAACTATAATTTCTAACTCAGACAAATCACAATTTCCACAAGTAAAGCTCAACATTTTGGATCACTGGAGGATTACGTAATAAACCCTTCCACATAAAGGTCTGTTTTTAAGTTATGACGTAGTTCTCTTAGTCACAATCGACTGTATTTTCGTCTCTTTTTCACATGAGCAATTCAGTTTAGCCAAAAGATAGTAAATTTATACCTTAATTGGATCCTTCCAGTTGCTTATGAAATATCAGTTGACAATGGTAGGAACTCCTTTCACTTTGCTGGCATTTCAAAACACTAGTCCACCTCTGTCTCACTGGATGATTTTATCTGATCAGTTCAAAAATAAAGTTATTTGCTTATAACAGTTTGAATATTTCCAAATCCAATCAAAATCTTTTTTAGCATTGGTCTAGTGTAGGTTCTAAGATGCTGCTGTCTGGATTCACTGAGAAGATGTATATAGGTGAAATATTTTGGACAAATTACCAGACAGTAAGTAATGCAGGAGGAGGAGCAGTCTTGAGCTGGAGGAGTAGTAAACAAATTATCATTAGTAAGTGGGAGGCTATTGTTAACTGCTCGCATAAAGTCTACGTATAATACCTTTGCAACATAGAATTTAAAACAAAAGATTCTGCTATCCAACAGTTTGAGCAGTTAGAAACCATTCAGGATGATCTATAGCATTTCGTCAGACAGATCACAATGACCTAAGCACCAAATTGCCCCTTAGCTCAAATAGGTTGACTTGACTGGTAAAACATGAATCCAATAACTAGGATCCGATTTAGAAACCTAGGTTATCATCCCTATGTATAACAAATAGTATGACGTGTTATGTCTTTTGATTGAAGGTCATCAGTCAGAAGAATGTTCATCATTGATAATGGTAAAAAAAGAAATTTAACTGAAGGAAACAAAAATGATTATTCACGAGGTTATTTTCTTAGTGTAATTAAGTGATCAGTGCAGAATTAGAAAGAGAATTTCGGTGGAAAGTCGCCAGAAGTAGAACATTCAGGTAATAAACTATGTGGGGATGACTTTTGAAAATATATTAAGCATGAA